CTTTAAACCTAATAAAACACTCCTGCTCTTTTTTTAAATAGTACATAAAGCACTATACTTTATATAATTAATGGGTATTAAGTAACACATTTACCAATATATACACAACACAAATAATTATCTTTACATTGGAGCTGTATTGATATCTGTAAACTGATCCCTGTGAGAATACTGGACTGACAATATATGCTATTTCTCGCAAATTGATTAATTACGCAGACGGCGATCAATTTTACTACCGGTGTCTTAATTGTCCTTGCTGGACAGGGAAAGTTTGAACTATTATACGTATGGTGCGTTAATATATATAAAATGACATGGATTTTTTAATAAGCAGTTAAATTAAGCAGCGAGTTTGGCATGAACTTTTTAATAAAAATCATATCATTTTCACCCTGACTTGTGCTCCTTGTATGTTCAACATCGTACATATTGCTTGTTTCAGAGTGTAGAGTAAAGGTATAAAAAGTTTCTTCTACGTTTGTGAGAAAATTTAAAAACCGTACAGGACATTCTACAAAATGATTATATGTTTTCAGTGTTGGCTGCAGTTTAGGGTCAGGCGCTGTAAGCCGTTGCTAAGATTTTATTTAAGTTATCAATAATGATATTCCACAGCTTATCAAGTCACAACTCTCACCCACGCTATATGGATAAACGCATTTTTTAAACAACTCACAGTGGAAAACTGGACAAAAAATATATTTTACATTCTCTATACCGTCTTATTCAATCAAAAATCCCAAGAAGTCTATTCAGAAACATGCAATACCAATGTGCACGGTTCTTAAAATTTATTACATTATTAATAACTGTTTTTAATTTAAAAAATATATACCTGACTTTATTATTGATTGAAGAAGACAGATCAAAACAATATTCTTCCACCAAAAGGTTCCTGATGAAGAGTAGTTCTGTAGTTAGTAGTTACCTTGTTCTGTGATTCTCTCTGTTTGTGATTCAGTTGATGCATGTTCACAGGCTTGCAAGCAGTCGATGTGTTTGTTTATAGTTCATTGTGTTGATAATTTAGCTTTACTTAACGGATATCGTCAGTGCGTCACGCCACTGGATTGTGGATGTTTTACTGTGAACAATTTGACTTTCTTAAGCAGTTTGTATAAGCATCGCGCATGCAGAATGTAGGGGTCCGGTATTGCAATAATTATGAAATTCCGCATGCAAAAATGGCAAAAAGGTTAACTATCTAGGTCTATTATGAAGTGTTGGCCTACAAATCAATGCTACTTTCAAGTTCCAAGGTTGTATAACGAGCAAATTATCTATACTTATAAGCCAGTAAATACTGACTGGGTTACGGCAGCTAATAATATATTTATCGGGGTCAATTCCCCGTGTTTATAGAAAGAGTGCCCAGCTCACTTCCGATTAATATTTGAACTAATTAACTGCTTTATCGAATTCTTCGCCGCTGCGTGGTGTAAAAAATACGTTCTTCACGGATATATAGCTATAGACGGTAGTGAGTATCAGGCCTGGCACATGTCCATGACCAAAATGCCATAAAAATCAAAATAAGGTTTATCAATGAACAGAAAAACGAAAAAAAATAATCCGAATATACATGTATATTTATTTATTGAATCGACGGACTAAATTGTGGTTATCGTCAGGATATTGAAGTAAAATTACAGATAATCTAAAATGTAAACAAGGAAGGCGGAGCGTAATGGCATTGAATTATGATTTGTACCTTCGAGGCGTTAAGTCTGGTTTTCGTCAGAGCATGTGGCAAGTGACGGCTTTGAATATCAACAAGCAGTGGTCTGACCTATCAATTATTTCACAATTATTAAATATTAGCTCTGTTATATTAGTGTTCATATATTATATTATAAGGTTGCATTTTTATGTTTTACCACTTTGACACGATACTCTGACATGGACGGAAACTTAAAATGTGTCACAGTCTTCGCACGCGCACAATAGAGCCTCCTGATTATAACACGAGTAGTTTACCTGGATTGTATGTGGTTGCAAAGCTTTCTTGCATGCAGCAATTTATAATTTGTTTTAGTGTTGAATTGTTAAAATGACGTATCTGTTAAACTTCGATTACCTTGCGTAGAAACATTCGGTAGATGCATGCCTTTCTTCGAGTTTTGAAGAGATTCATATGCACAAGCCATTTTCTCCTGGCAAGAACTCATTGTTATTATGGCTGTACTACTCTACTATATTCCATAAACAATTTATAGACGTTAGTACATATGAAATAAAATATAATATGCTAACTGAATATACGAACTTCGCAACGAACATTTGAAACTCGCTCACAACATTTGTAAAAGTTATCTGAAATCGACTGTAAAGATGTGGTACACTTTGACACAAAAAAAAATAAAAAGCCGGAGGCGACAAGTAAGTTTTGCAACACAATATACAATCCAGTTAAAATACTCATGTCATGATCAGGAGACTCCTTTGTACGCGTGCGTAGAACGGACTGTGCCACATCTTTAAGGTTTCCCGTCCATGTCAAAGTAAATTGTGCCAAAGAATATATTTTTAAAAATCAATCAACATCAACATACCAGATATGGTATGTAAAGATACATACACAAAAGGGTACAATATTACACAGCATGTAACAAAAAAGAAACTATAGAAAGTAAGATTAATGTAAATGTTCAAAATAATATATCGTGGCAGTCTAATTGTTTCTTTTTGACTAGCTAGGGTATATTTAAAAAAGATCTTTTTGGTATAGATAAATAAAATGAACTGCTTATTTGCATAACTGATTATTTACAAATGTTATTCTGAGATTGGTAAATTTAGAATTACTACACCATTAAAAAATAGTATTCATTCCCAATCGCATTTTTATAGCAATGTAATTTGCATTTCCTATCCGTTTGACACATTGTGATATCGACCAGTTTAGTCTGTTGAGCTGAAATTCTGTGCCAAAGTCGTAAACATAAAAATGTAGCATAATAATATATAAAACAGAAATATTTGATAGGTAAGACCACTGCATGTTGATATTAAAAGAGTTACTTGCCATATGCGCAGACAAAAACCAGAGTTAATGCGTCGAAAATAGCCACTAATCATAATTCAATGACATTATGCTCCGCCTACGTTGTTTATATTTTGTATTAACTGTAATTTTACTCCAATCCTGACGATAACGACAATTTAGTCCGTCGATTCAATAAATCAATATACATGTATTCGGAGTTACTCTTCTTTTGTATTTTCTGTTCATTGATACAACCTTATTTTTATTTTCGTATGGAATTTTGGACATGTACATGTGCCAGACTATACTAACTACCGTCTATAGCCATCAGTAAAAATGTAATTTTTACACCTCACAGCGGCGAAGTCATGAAGAATCCGATAAAACAGCTAATTAATTCAAACAAATCGGAATTAAGCTGGGCACTCTTTACATATAAACAGACAAGTGAAAACCTTAAAATAAAACAAAGAGTTTGACTGAACTTGTTTTTTTGTTGACATGCATTCAATAAAAAATGGCAAATCAATTTAATGTAATTGCGGGAACCACTGAGTATTTTGATAAAATACAATATAATAGTAACTTCGAAAACAGTAAACATTTTGGTTATTGTTTATTCTACGCTAGCGCTTCGACTAGATTTTATAGTCATCTTCAGGAATAAAAAGATTATAACAATCAAAGCTATATATATATATATATATATATATATACATATATATATATATATATATATATATATATATCGTATATACTATATATATCGTATATACTATATATATCGTATATACTATATATATCGTATATACTATATATATCGTATATACTATATATATCGTATATACTATATATATCGTATATACTATATATATCGTATATACTATATATATCGTATATACTATATATATATATATATATATATATATATATATAGATTGTCTATATCTTAAAATTAAATATCGCTACTCTGAGTTTCACGTCCTTTCTAGACGATCATCAGGCGATTTTGTTCACGATTTTGTTACTGATTACGTGATTGCATCATCATCAACCGTTCGCTGACGCGTTAACTTGTTTGTTCGCGCGCGTTCGAATTTCCCGGCGCTGAAATACATATATGTAAGTAGCATATATATATATATATATATATATATATATATATATATATATATATATATATATATATATATATATATATATATATATATATATATATATAGTTCTTCGCGAAATGTCGCCATCGAGAAAAATTCAGCGCCTGGAAATTCGAACGCGCGCGAACAAACAAGTTAACGCGTCAGCGAACGGTTGATGATGATGCAATCACGTAATCAGTAACAAAATCGTGAACAAAATCGCCTGATGATCGTCTAGAAAGGACGTGAAACTCAGAGTAGCGATATTTAATTTTAAGATATAGACAATCTAATAAGCTCTGCTATACTTTTAGTATTGAGCACTTTATATATCTAGGCAACCAAAACAAATTGAATTATATATATATATATATATATATATATATATATATATATATATATATATATATATATATATATATATATATATATATATATATATATATATATAAGTCGAAGAAATATGAGAAGTAATATAATATAATTAGGTCATTAGTGTCATTAGCTAAATATGATGAGTTCTTTGGAAGCTTTAGTTCCACGGTTTAGTTTAATTAGGTTTCAATCTTTGTATGGTCAAAGATTCTTTGAATGAATAATAGGTCAGCTTTCAGGGGCGGATTCAGACAGGTTTATATAAACCTGTCAGATTTTCCAAAGAAAGAAAATCTATAACCTTCCATGTATATAACTAATTTGAAGAATATTCTGTTTCATAAACTTGATGTCGTCTAATCTATTACGCCATTTAAATACTGTTATTGAAATTTGATTCTGGATTACCGAGCGTATTTAGATCGACTTACACATAATAAGCGGATGTTAGGGTTTGTAATCCAAATGAGAATATATACATTTTAAGACTTAATTAACCAGGAACGACTGGGAAAAATGCAGCACAAGATTCTCTGGTAGGAATCGAACCTACGGCCCTGCGATTCCGAAGCAGCGCTCTAACCAACTGAGCTACACAGGCCAGCTATTGAGCTGTAACCGTACGTTCATGTATATATAGGTAATCGGGTGTGCGGGTTGTGATAAGGTGGACTTGAATAACTTAGTTCTTGCACTTCACTTGGTGGAATTAATATTAGAGCAGGGCCGTAGGTTCGTTTCCTACCAGAGGAACTTGTGCTGCATTTTTCGCAGTCGTTCCTGGTTAGGTCTTAAAATGTATATATTCTCACTTGGATTACAAACCCTAACATCCTAATATTAATTCCACCAAGTGAAGTGCAAGAACTAAGTCCTGCATAATAAGCATTTAATTAACTAAGGACTTATCGCGTTGGTTTCCTCTTACGAAATGTTGTAATACTAGACAAATAATCTGCTAATGTATCGTCGTGGGTCGTGGACTGAAACATCGCATGAATCACACATAACCGCCCGCAATTCACGAGTAAACCGGTGGTCAGAGTTTTCTCAATGAGAGTAAACAGGTCGATACGCCATTTGATTGGCTAAACTTTTGCGCTCCGCCGGATGTAAACCGGTCATAAGCCTGTGAGTCGAGCAGTGTTTAGAGAAAACTGGGAATGAAAGTTAACTGAACTCCAGGACGCGCGAAATATGTTTAAAATTTTTCGGGACTGAATAATTGCGTTGGCGATAGAAGCATTTACATGGATTTCTTGTTCATTTTGAAGGTTTGTTTAAAAGTATATAATCTAAAGTTGTAACTGTAAGTTATTTCTACTTACTGTATAATAAATAACGATCCGTCAACAAGCATATCGATGTTTATACCTGTATACACAGTCTACACTCATGATAGCGCCAAATATGTGTATAAATATAATATTGCGTGACCGAATCATTGCGTTCGCAATAGAGAATCAGGAAACTAGAAGTTACTATCGCAAGGAAAATGATGCCTCACCCCCAAGGGATTAAAGGCATGCACAATTTGCCGAATAAGGGGCTGTTTATATGACCCCGCTTTGCCAGGAGATATGAGGCAGGTTGATTTTGATGTACTTAAATAAGTCACGATGCATGATTCAGCAAAAAATTTCCCTATTTTCTAGAGATGGATAACGGTATAGTTAACTGTAAACGAAAGGTTGCCTGTTGAAGCATAAGATAACCTTCTTGAACCACAAGATCTTCTCTACATTTGAACAACTTCTCTACATTAGAGCGTTTGAACTTTTGTTTAGCCTAGTGACTAATATTTTAATACATCAAAATCATCCCTTCTTCCATCATGCAAACAGCTCTTAAATTAAGACGCCTGTTCAGGAGGTAGGAAAAATGCAGTTTGAATATCAAACATCTTGCACAAAGTCGAAGGGCGGCTGAAAGTTCTAATTCTACTTTCTTTTCATGGGCGGTTTTCAATATGAATATCTTCAATGCTTATAACTAGTCTAGGACCTGTATATGAGTTTGTATGCATTTCATTTAGGACAGATAATCTCAACTGTTTTAGGGTAAGTTGACCATATGACGGTCAACATGGTAATACTGCCCGAACCTCAATTCGGTACGAAATGCCCGAAACCGACCACACCCATAGTGCTATCTACCAAACCATACAAGCTTTGGCTATTCTGAAGTACTTATATGGTTCAGAGATGGTGCTTTTAGGGGTGGTCATCGGTAAGTGTGAAATGCCTAGCACAGATATTTCACAAGAAAATGACCATGCAATACTCATAGTCAAACGTCAATTTGTGGCTTACAACTTCAGATAATCAGCAGTGGACCTATATTACCTTTTTTCCTAAATCTTTTTTATAGAAACATAATTGGTGCTTATTTAATTATGTTATTACTGTTTTGGTGTAATATGGTTAATATTTTGTGACCGAAATAATAATTTGAAATGTACCTACCTCTTGCAAATGGACGTATTTTACCAAATTCTCCACTTTACTCCGCTGTTTATCGCAGATCTCGTTGAAATCTTTCCAAATGTGCAATTCAGCTCAAACATAACGGTATCAAGTACATTTTAAACAAGTTTTAACTGGGTTTCAAGTAGATCCTACCCGTTTAAACATCGACGAGGTAAAACCTCAACTTTGTCCAAATTCGGTGCCATTTTGCCATCCCGTTCGGTTGTGCACATTTCGGCCTCGTTCTTCTTCCATCAAAGAAGGATAAGAAGTGATAATGACAAATTTAACCCTTTGTTAAGTATATTAAAATAAAAATACAATAAAAAATGCGAAATGTAGCATTTTATCACCCTGTAAGATGTTGCTTACAAGTCTTTCAAAACATTCCGTACAAATCTCGTGTAGCAAAGTAACATGCATCTGACAGGGGGGGGTTGAATTGTTTCACGAAGGGCTGCGTGAAATAAAAAAAACTAAATACAATCATACAAACGTTTGCTTTATTTCTCGTAGCGAGATATAAATACATACTATGATCTGTAATATGAAAATACAAATTAAATGTTGATTGTTGGTTTTATCATTATACTGAGTTTGCGTGCCTTTGCTTTTATTTTTGAAGTCTCCACCCCCTGTCACGTCCCTGTTACTTACCCACGCGAGATTTGTACGGAATTTTTTAATTGTATTTTTATTTTAATACACTTAACAAAAGGTTAAAATTGTCATTATCACTTCTTATCCTTCTTCAATGGAAGAAGAACGAGGCCGAAATGTGCACAACCGAACGGGATGACAAAATGGCGCCGAATTTAGACAAAGTTGAAGTTTTACCTCATTGATGGTTAAACAGGTGGGATCTACTTGAAACCCAGTTAAAACTTGTTTAAAATGTGCTTGATACCGTTATGTTTGAGCTGAATTGCATATTTGGAAGGATTTCAACGAGATCTGCGATAAACAGCGGAGTAAAGTGGAGAATTTGGTAAAATTTGCAGGAGGTAGGTACATTTGAAATTATTATTTCGGTCACAAAATATTAACCATGCATTTAACACTAAAACAGTGGTAATATAATTAAATCAATTTTGTTTCTATCAAAAAGATTTAGGAAAAAAGGTAACATAGGTCCACTGCTGTTTATCTGAAGTTGTAAGCCACAATTGACGTTTGACTATGAGTATTTTATGGCCATTTTCTTGTGAAATATTAGTGCTAGGCATTTCACACTTACCAATGACCACCCCTAAAAGCACCATCTCTGAACAATATAAGCGGTTCATAATAGCCAAAGCTTGTATGGTTTGGTAGATAGTACTATGGCGAAAGCATCGTTTTTGGGTGCGGTTAGTTTCGGACGTTTCGTCCCGGATTGGGGTATGGGCAGCGTTACCATGTTGACTGTCATGGTCAACTTACCCTAAAACAGTTGAGATTATCTGTCCTAAATGAAATGCATACAAATTCATATACAGTCCTAGACTAAACGTCTTGCTCTTGTATAATTATAATACTGTCAGTGGTGAAGCTAGCGATAGCAACAGGTCATGCTATACAAGTTTTTAATGATTTGCATTATTCAAATAGACGCAGGTTTATCAGTATAGCATGCATATGGCCAGTGGTGAAAATTCACTTTTTCCGGGGGGGGGCAAAGCCTTCTCAATTTCCGACAAAACTTTCAATTTTCCGACATACCCCCCTCCCATTTGCACTCGAAAAGACTGTTTTTAGCCCTGTTTTAGATCAAAGTTTCGGAAATTCGTCAATTTTCCGTGAAGGCGAGGGGGGTGCGACAGCCCCCCGCCCCACCAAGATTTCCGCCACTGCATATGGCCAGTTGCCATGGCTAGTTTGCCATTGAATACTGTACAATGTTTATATAAAAATACTAAGTCGGGGTTTGTTTCAATTATTGTTTTAATGCCACCTTCAAGACTGCCCATATCACAGAACAACCGAACAATATGCTGATGGGGAGACAATATCTACTTGTTGACATTTCTAATTGTGAGCATTACTGTCGCATTATCGAAAAATATAATACACTCTAAAATGTAGTGACACAGCCAGATGAATATATTATATATATGAATGTAGGCTGGCAGGATTATTTCATATTATGCTAACAATAAACACACAGTCGTATCTTATACAAAAATCAGTTGACATACTATTACATGTAATCATATTGATGGTATAAAGTCAATATGTGCAGATAACAATCCACACTGGGTTGCTCTAGTTAAGCCTGATTTAACAACATTCCGCGTTTGTTGCTAAACTATAAACATCTAGAAATGAACACTGTCTATACTCATCGTCTTGGCACATAACAAACAAATATTAAATAAGGCATTATTGACGAATAGATGTGGTGGGCTATTATACACTGCCGGTAAATTCATGAAATACTTCAGAGATCTTAAGTACATTTTGTCTCCTTGTATTTATAAGAAAGACATTATCAAATGTTCTAAACGACCATGCGGACTATGGGAATATTTCGGGCTGTAAGAAGCGCCGTAAACTCATGACATAAAAGCACATTGCTTGCCTCCAGAATGAACGCTAAACAGTTCATGGCCTTGATGGATATTAGCACAAAGAAATAAAGCCATACTTTCCTGGTTTCTGCGGGAAATGTTGGTATATTTTGCATCAAGTCAGATTCAGATTCCTGAATAAAAAGTTTGCAAATTATTAATATTTTTCTCGCACTTCCCCCCCCCCCCGGAAATACGACATCTTACCGGACAGACACAAGATCGAGATCTCGGCAATACATAGATCGGCGCGAAAGACTGGGTCGAGTGAACTCTGGAGAAACCTTCATGTCAAGATTAGGAGTGCTGCCTTCGGCAGCAATAATTGTCAAGCTTTCACGCTCTTGCAGTTTGGTTTCTATTTCATTGTTATTAAAGCGGTTGGTTTGAAAGCGTATAGATCTAACATTATAACTAATTTTATATTAAAAGCATCTCTACTTGTTGTACTCATAGTAAATATCGATGCCTCAGCAATTTGACAATCCTATATTTTTCTCACTAGCTAATAAGTTTCCGAAAAGGTTCAATTCATTGTTTGAGCTGCGTATATTAGTCCAAAATCTCTTAAAATTATGTATTTTCTAACCATTAAATTAATTTAAAAGGTGACGCCAGAACGCAGGAAATGCTGTTTCAGAGGCCCGAATTTTATAAATTTCCAGGGGGTGCATGCCCCCGGACCCCCTAATGGTTGTGTGG